AGGGAAGCGTCAGTGCCCGAATGTTGAAGGCGAACAATCCGGAGAGAGAGACGATGTACAGGACATGAGCGAGAACTTTGTTGTGAAAGAAATGCTTTACGGCACCGTTGCGCAAGAATTGCGTGACAACGGTATTGAGGAAGAGGAACCTAATGACGACGATGAGGAGGAGGACGAATCGAGCAATGACGATGATGGGGAGGAGGAAAGGAGTGAGAATGCCGATTCAGAAGACACAGACTCTAACGATGATGAAGGGAAGAACGAGTCGGGAATTGATGTCGACATGTTCAAGAAGAGTCTATCTGGAGATCTTTTAGGAGAAGCGAAGAAGATAATAGCACAGGAGGCGAGAAGAGGAGTGTACAGCAAATCAAGCAAGAGTGAGAAACCTCCTTACAACTTGGAAAAACGCGGCAKGAACGTACGTGTGTACAACAAGAAAGCTAACTACCACGTGAACAAGAAGAATGTTGAAGTAGTTCTGAAGGAAGATTGCTGCAAGGCCAACTGTTACAAGAAGTTCACAGCGGTAGATGTTTTCTACAAGCTCGAAGAATTTTAGGCGATGAAACAACCTAAGCAACTCAACTTCTTTCTCGCACAGATGAGAATTGCGTCGTACTTTTCGGATAAGGGAGATTTAGAGGTGTTAAGAGTGGCATTCAACGACATAAAGGTTTGCATAAAAGCGTGGGGAAAGTTGTAAGGATGCTCAACTACACATGTTGCAAAGATACACAAAGAATTCAAGGAAGGAATGGTGTTGTACGAGCATGCAAACAAAAGATCAGTCGGAATATCTGCTTCATCACTGCAAATTCTCGCCTAGTTGTATGAATATTTCAAATACAACACTGAGAGTATGCCAAATAGCAAACAGTTTCATCTTTCAGATACTCTCCGGCCCAGAGACGTGTACAACTTCTTCAAGCGAGACTGCAAAAAGCTCTACACGAATAAGACTCTTCCTTCCCGTTCCAAATTTATGACCATTTGGAGGGTTCACTGCCTTATTCCTGCATTGAAGAGGTTCTCGGTTTGTTCCACATGTCTGAAATTCAAAACAGGCCGTTTACAAACAACAAGTGCATTCAAACGAGGTAATGACATAACCTCGGTGCTTATTTTCTCCCCCCCTGTCTTCCTGGCCCTTGTTCTCTCTCTCTCT